TCTGCCTTACCTACCCTCTGCAAGATCAGCTCCATTCCCAGGCCCTGTCCCTCCCATCCATTCCATCGCCTTCCTCACTGAACGCCGTCGGATTGCATCTTAAATCGCCCCGTAAATATAAAAAAATTATTCTACTTTCTAACACTTCTCTGTGAGCTCACGAGAGCTGATATCATTCATTAAATCGGGTCGCAAAGTGTGTACACCGTCACTCTAGAGGGTACACGCTCTGTTTTATACGTGGCATACGAGTCCGTGTTCACTCACGGAATCTTAACAGTGGACTTTAAATGACAACGCACAGTTTGATGTGACATTATCATCATTGATGCCGTCACGCGTGATATTAAATATGCAAGTTCCTATATCCACGTCTGTAATTAGACGCATATGTACATGTGATTACATTGTACGGTACAGGTATTGACTGTTGGATGTAAGTGGGCATGGGCAAGGCACGCCGCGAGATAATAATTATACTTTTTTATTTTATTTTTTATAGCGTAATTCATGCTAATAGCATGCCGTAACGCTGCACATTAATTATATATAGAAAAACTAAATTCCCATATACAGCTACTAGCAAGCAAAATTAAAACCATACCACTAAACAAAACCGAAAATTATAAACGAATTAATAAATTGCACCAGAACTAAAAAAAAAATCACAAACAAAAAAGATTACGATGATGTTTATGATGTTGATGACGTTGATGACGTTCGTGATGATGTCCGGTGGTCGGGACTAACGACGGGGTTGGCGGCAGCAAATAGGGAATGGGAAACAACGCACGAGGGGGGACGTCCACACCGAGGAGATGGAGCGATGTGGACCTGTCGCGTGGCCGTGAGAGCTGGCCACGGCCTGGGGAAACCCCACACGGGGAGGGCGCCACGTCGGCGAGATGTCAACTACCTCGCCTGGCATACGGGAGGTCGTGGGTTCGATCCAGACCCTGACACCTGCTGCTGTATATTTGGAGTTTGCATCTCTCCTCTCCCCCTCCCCCTTGTGGTCGAGTGGATTTTTCCCCGGGTCCTCCGGTTTTCCTCCTCCAAATTTAGAAACAATATCACGCGTTTAAGACTATCTGGCTGCTGTACATTTCCACGCGATAAGCCACTTCGTTGAGCTATCATTTGTGGCCAGGTCACGTTTGAAAAAGAGATGTGTATAACTTAGTGAGCCTTAACTGATCAAATAAAAAAAATGTGTTAATAGTTACAGCAGTGGATCGATCATGGCTCACGATGATGCCGCTGGTGATGATGGCATATATTTACACCGTCACAATGTGTGTAATGCGTACCTAAGCACATACACCATATTCCTTCATCAACACTGCAAACAGACCAAGTGCATGGTACGGTACTGTACATTATGATAATGACATTTTTATATTTCACGGCTGTTTTCCAGTCCTCTGCTAGATGAAGGACTTTCCACGTCGTATCAGTCATAGACGCTGTTTCACCATACTTCACCACGCTGGTCATTGCAGATTGCTGAAGGTGGGGCTGCGGGGGTGGGGTGAGATATCATGAGCTAATGATTTTGGCCGTGGCCAGGAATTGGCCTGTGCTAACCACTGCGGCCACCGCTTCACCTCCCAGACCAAGTTATCCGACTTAAACATTGTTGGATGAATGTTTACGGAATCCCAGTCACGTTCAAAGAGTCTCCGACTAAACGGAGCAAAGTGGGGGAAGCTCGTCTGTTTTCGCGGGCCTGAGGCAGCGGTTGAAATTCCGCACTGCCGTGGCGGTCAGTAGTCAATACAAACTACGACTAGCGATGACGTGGTGCCGATGTTATCGACCCTCATGAGTATAATGGGACGTGTCGATCACAACTAAACATTTATATAATTATCGAGCGCTCTGATGATAGCGATGCCCAGATAAATATATATCCCACTGTATGTATTTACAAAGACTCCCCGTGTAGCCTTAGCAGTCCATCGTGGCAAGGGCTGTTAGTAAATAATGAAGGCTGGCACGCCACATCAGAAGGGTGTGAGGCCAGCGCCAAGTTCCGGCCGGCTTTGCTTACACAGGGCAACCGGGAACTTTTTAAATGCCGAGTCGACCTAGGGGAGGCCCCAGACGCGCTTCGGATGTTCGTCCCCAATGTTGGCCGTGAGCCGGAATCGAACTCGGGTGGTCAGGTCCGTAGTGCCGTGCGCTGACCGCTACACTACCGCCCCCCCCCTCTTGTGTGCATTGATTCATTGACTGCCGTACATTATAATGATGTTCTTAGAGGGCCTGTAATTCTGAAATTTGGCGTAAATATAATCGCGTTAACACTCACAGTTAGAGACTGTGAGTATTAACTTCCGATGTCACCACATCAACGCCTTTATATAAGGAACAAAACAGGTGGACTTCTGCACAAATCTGGCTGTCGCCTGATGAAGCTAGTTGCAATTACTGGCGAAACGTCGTACTCTGATTGTAAATGTTGTGGCTTGGCTCTCCAACACACCAGTGTGCTGTACTAGTGACGAATTGGCCACGTTCTGCTTACGTGACAAACCTTACTAGTTGGCTGTGTCGGGTGGTGGCGGGTTTTAACGACACATTTACATGTTTACGCGATCACACCCAAACAATCTCTATCATAAAACCCAAACCAGTTAGAATGTTGTGCCCCCCAAACAAGGTCGCACAGGCTTGATTGATTTCCACTCACAGGGCGAGAAGTCAGGCGCGAGTTCAGTGTCGTGTCTAAACGCGTCACACACAAATACAAAACTACAGGGTTGTCCATCATCGGTGAACCAAGTAATTCGCCTCCGGTGGAGTGTGACGCTAGAGCCGATTGAAAGTGAATGAAAGCTGCGAGAGACGAACTCCCCCCCCCCACTCACAAATCCCACTCCCCCCCCGTACGCGCAGCGAGGGCGACACGCGCCAGGTTCACGCGACGAGCGAGTAACGCGCGTGACAGCCTCGTACACGCGGCGGTAGAATCCGTGTTGTGGCGACGACGCTCACGCACACACGCGTCGCGAGATAACCCACGTGGAGACGACGACGTACAACTTGTCACGACAAAGACAAAGTCGCCCCCCCCCCCCCCCACCCCGTTATAGCCTTCGAAGACTGCTCGGGGCAAGTGCTGTTGGCGAGCGTCTACGAAGGCCGGCACGGCGCACGGCGAGGGTGGGAGGCCTAGCGCCACGCGGCACACACACACACACGTGCCGATGCCTCGTGTCAATTCACCCCCTGAGCTGTCCGGGGCTTGGCTCCGGAAAAATGTTTACCCCCACCCCCCCTACCCCCTTCGGTGTCGGGGTCTGAAGGGGGGGGGGGCGCAGGGGATGTGGTGGATGGGTGGAGTGGGGGAAGCAGTGCCGGATTGTGAGTAGTTGCGGGGCCTGTAGCATATGTTGTTATGAAGGGGCCCTAAATAAAAAAAAACGTAAATATTAAAACACAATTTTTTTTACTTGCACAGTAAAGTAATTGCATTTTTTTCATTTTCTATACAGCCAGATAATAATACAAATCGCTAACCTTGAACATCCAGTCGTTCGTGAAAGTTGAGGGCGGTATAGTACTATAGTAATAGAGCAAGTGCAGAATCACCGAACCGGAATCGATAGCTTGAAAGCATTTAGCGCGGGGCCCTTGAAAGTGCGGGGCCCGTAGGATGTGCAGCTACTTTCGCTGCTAGAATAGTCCGGCGCAGGGGGGGAAGTCAAGAAAAATATTACGCGAGACATTTAAACTCTTGCACGGGTGTAGCGTACAAACTCAACGCACGGTAAACAACTTGCACGCGCAAACGTACGAGTATCTGTAACTGCAGACTCTTCAGAGTGACGCGCGCGTGTATCCGCATAGCGTGCGCTTATAAGGGTACACACGTGCGCATGCATGCGCACATACGCGGACTGATGCAAGACGCGATATTTAACGTTTGGTCGGCGCTATGCACGCAAAAATGATGAACACCTCAACACACGCATCGGCGTTATCGTCAATATCATCATCATCATCATCCGCGAGGAATAATTAATCAAAGCATCGCTGCGTGCGAACGAGTCGCGCAAAGTTTTTTGACCATACTTCACCATGGGTTGCTGTCTCTCTCTCTCTCGCATCTCGTCGAGCAACTGACTTGGTATGGATGTCCCTATTCCGATCAGTACGGTGCCAAAGAAGTTCAACACACGTGGACACATGTCCTGACAAGGCACGTCAAGCCGGCGCCCCATCGCGACGAATGTGTGAAGTGTAACACGTGTGGGATGCACCGGTAACAAAGATGAACGTCTCCCCATGTCGCCTTCAACAAGATACCTGGGCAGGTAAATTCCGTTCGCGAGAAGCACCGATGAAAGCCAGAACGGCACACGAAGGGGGGGGGTGTATTGCCAGTAACCACGCCCGTCCGCCTTTGTCTCCCCTGTGGCGATGTTTACTACGCATCGGGTGTCCCGTTTGAGGCTGAGTCGACCTACGCGAGGCGAAGGATCGGTTATAGATATTCGCCACTCATTTTGGCCATGAGTGGGAACCCAACTCGGGCCTCTGCCGGGTTCGTAGCGCAACGCGTTAAACACCACGCTACCGCTCCTCCACATCTGTAACACACAACGAGAAAGATTCCCCCTATAGCCTGAACAGACTGTTGGGGCAAGTGCTGGTAGCGAGCACCTATGAAGGCCGACACGCACACACACACAATTACACACACACACACACGCGTGCACGTATACACACGCGTGCACACACACACACAGATATCGAGACATACGCACATAGAACCTCTCATACGCAAAGACAAAGTTCCCCCGTATAGCTCTTATCGTACTGTTGAGGCAAGTGCTACGAACGAGGACCCTTGGAGGGGCTATGGTGTGGCCAACACCACACCCAGCCGCCTTTATCACCCCACTGTCGATGTTTACGCGCAGCACCGGGTACACGTTAATGGCCGAGTCGACCTAGGGGAGTCCCCCGCACCACACACACGGCCCACTCACCCGGTCGCTTCTCTCGGGGGAGAGGTCCGCGCGGAAGCGCGACTCTGGCGGGCTGGCCTCGACCCGGAGCGACGTGGCTGGGCATCTCTCCTCCGGCACCTGCTGATGCTGCTGATGATGCTGCTGCTGCTGATGCTGCTGCTGTTGATGATGATGATGGTTGTGGTGATGGTGGGAGAACGCGCGCTCCCCGACCGCCGTCACCTCGTCCACCTCCACGGCGTCGTCTTGGGGCAGGAGCTCCTCCTCCACCTCGTCCTCCGCCTCCGTCTGCTTGTGAGACTCCACGTCCACGTCTTGCTCGCTCTCAGCCTCACTGCACGCGCCGTCGCTCAGCATCTCCGAGTGGTAGGACGAGGGTTCGCTCAGGAGGTCCGGGGACAAGACGCAGTGCCTCCCCACCCCGCCTACTCCTCCACCACCTCTTCCTCCTCCCCCGGCGGCCACCACCACCACCCCGCCACCGACACCGCCACCGACACCGCCGAGGATCCCCGCGCCGCCGATGCAGCCGATGCCGCCAGCGCCGAACGTGTCGCGGTTGCCGTAAAGTTTCGCGAAACTCTCCGCGTCCTTCACCACGGGCCGGAAGGCCGAGAGGTAGCTCGTGGTCGCGCCGGCACCGGCTGCGCTCTGCTTGCGCATGGGAGACGCCGCGAGGTGCCCGTCCCCCAGCGAGGAGGCGCGCGTCTCCTCCCCGGAGCGGTTGTCCTCGTGCCGCGAGTGCTCGCTCTCCGCGAAGCTGATGTCGCTCTGCTCCGAGCCGTCTCCCCCGCCTCTCTGCTGCTCCCCGTGCCGCTTGTGCGCCTCGGATAGCAGCACTCCCTGCTGCTGCTGCTGTAGCGCGGGCGGTGGCTGCAGCTGCGGGTATCCGGGCACGGCGCTCAGAGTGGCGCCGTTGCGAGTCGGCCAGAACATGTGGAAGGACGGGTAGACCACCGCGTCTTTGAGACCACCGTGGGGTGGCCAGAAGATGCCCGAGAAGTTTGGGTATTTGGGGGGCTGCTGTGGAGGGGGTCCGACGGCCGCGGCAGCTGCGGCGGCCGCGGCAGCGGCGGCAGCGGCCGCCGCGGCCGCGGAGGCGGCGTCGTCCTTCTTGGGGCAGAGGCCGAATGCCGGGAAGCCGTAGGGACTGGGGAAGACGGGCGCGGGCAGCTTCTGCAGGACGCTGCCGAACGTCTTGCTGGGGACGGGGATCACGGGGTAGCTGCGCACGCCCTCGGCCAGGCCCAGCGCGGCCGCCTCGTCCTCGTCGCACGGCCGCAAGCGCTTGGGGCCCCCGGCCATGGTCTGGCTCAGCATGGGACCCAGGCCAAATCCATGCCCGCGTCCCGAGCCACCGCCGCCACCTCCTCCTCCGCCTCCTCCACCGCCTCCTCCTCCTCCTCCGCCTCCTCCTCCTCCGCCGCCGGAGATCCTAGAGGAAGGCGGCAGCGTGCGCTTGCGGGAGCCGCCGTTGAACATGGCCTTGACGTCCTCCCAGGCGTGCAGGAGGTCGTCCGAGTGGTTCTTGTCGGTGAGCCGCATGTGCCGGCGCCACGAGTTGAAGTTGGCGGCGTCGGGCTGCGTGTACTTGGCGTCGGGCGTGCGGTGCGAGTGGAAGATGAACTTGTTGGGCGAGAAGTAGAGGCCGCACGAGGTGCACTTGATGCACTTGGCGCGCGAGCTGTTGTAGCGCGCGGGGATGAAGCTGCCGCGGCAGCCCCAGGCGCAGTCGTGGGAGACGTCGAAGGCGAAGTTCTCGGGCAGCCGTGGGGGCGCGCACTCGCCCAGGAACGACTTGCACAGCCGCTCGGCCTCGCGCTTCGTGATCATTCCGCAGCGGCGCGACGACACGGGCATTGCGCCCGCGCGTCTCAACACCTCGAGCTGCACGGGCGTGCACTGCACGCAGGTAATGCCCAGCGCCACGCGCCGGTTGTGGATCTCGTTGTAGCTGAAGTTCTTGAGCAGCGTGTTGGAGATTTGCGCCAGGCACAGGCGCTCCTGGCCGTCGATGACGAGTGACACGATGGGGACTCCGTAGAGGGTGACCTCGCGGACCTGGTTGGGTTTGAGCGAGGGTCCTCCCCCGCGACCGCCTCCGTAGTGCGGCTCCATGAGGCGCATTTCGGGTGATTTGGGAGCGCCCTGCGGGTGCGGCCCACAACCCGGTCCACCCGCAGCAGACATGTGACCCGAGAGGGCTTCCATGGCGAGACGGGAGTAAGCGATGTCCGTGGGTTTTTGTGATCGCGTCTCTCTCTCTCTCTCACTCACGGTCACTTAACAAATCACGGGTTTATTTTTCGTTGCTTCGTCCGCTGCTCCCTCCCTCGTTCTCCCCCCTCCGCTCCCCTCTTGCCCACCTCCCTCCCTCCCGCCCGCTCGCTCGTCCGCTCGCTCGCTCGCCCGCCTGTCGAAAGACGTATCGCGCGCGGTTAAATTAAATACATTTTCATCCTCAATAAAGCACGCCATTATACCGTAAAGCGGCGCTTTCGCATAAAATTCAGGAGGTGCAAAGAATAAAATATACCGCGGGCTAAAAATTAATGTATCAGTAAGCCGAATTCATAAACGGGCAAAAACACCCGGCGCGACTCGCGGAAGGCGCGCGCGCGCGCAAAGTTAATAATGTATGTAAACAAATTTCAGCAAACGTTGTCTCAATATGCAATCCTTCACGGGGAAGTGCGCCTTCGTTTTTGCGCGTCGCATAATGATTTGTTCCCGAGCGGCGGCGGGTGTTGCGTGAGAGAGGAGCGAGGGCGCGCGCGCGCCGTGGCACATTCCCTCTCGTGATGATGTCTTTTGTTTCTTCTCCTCCTCCTTCCTCCTCTTCGCTACGATGGGGACGTCGGGACACGACGGCGGGCGGGGGGGAGGGGGTGAGGGAATCTCCCCCCCCCCCGCCCCGCCCCGCCCCCCGTCACGCATAGCTGCTGATGCACGAAAGCTTTCCAAATTAATCGAGCCGCTTTGTGTTTTGTATTTGTATCATTATAATATGCGTGTGTTGCGTGTATAGGACGATGTGATGAGAAGTGTACGCTCTACGTGCAGTCGCATATGGGGGGGGGGGCGATGGTGCAGTGGTTAGCGCGTTGCGCGCGATGAATCCGCGGCGAGCACGAACTCGATTCTGTGGAAAGGCGTAGAGGCAGCATCAGTGGCGAGTGATATCCACACCGGGCCCTGTGCACCCATCCACCCAGCCCTCACCCCACTCTCAGTCGTGGATTGACTTTCATCCAGCAGTGGATTCACTGAAAGGCTGTACATTCATATAAGTGATTATTCATCCATATCAAGAGAGGGCTTTACACACACATGCACTGATTGCTCTCTGTGTAAGCAAAGTAAACATTCCATGTTGATAAGCCTCCGTTAATTGCCTTGATTTGGTTCTATATATGTTTTTGTTTATGATGGCTTACAGCCGATGTCTTTCGAGGCCTCCCCGTGTTAAGAGCGATTATCATGATTACATCTTTGCCGTTGTTATTATGCTTACTGCTACGCGTTGATGATGTGTCGATTTATTACAATCGTATTTGGTTCTGCAAAACCCAGTGTCTCCCTTTCGAAAGTCTCATCGTCTCTCCGGGCTCACCCGGTCCATTATAACAACAACAATAACAACGGCCATGAATGGGTGATGCCCAGGAATGGTATTATGAACATGATCGTTGATGTTAAGTAAACAAATGCGCGCATAATATGATGGTGAATTGGCCACAAACATTAAATTAAAATCGTAATTAGCACTGGCTAATAACCGAATATATAATTACACCCATACCAGGCAACGTTTCTGGTAACGAGCCATATGTACGCATATACACATGTAGTGATTGATGCTTTGTGGTGGAGTGCTGGTTGTAGATATCACACAACGGACAAGATCACGCACGCACAAATACAAATATCCCCCATATAGCCTCAACAGACTGTTGAGGCAAGTGCTCATTGCGAGTAGCACCTATGAAAGCCGGCCTCGGTACACAAAGGCATAGGTGGCCAGCACCACGCCCGGCCGCCTTCGTCTCCCTCGTGCCGATGCTTACACATCGCACCAGATACTCATTTGAGGCTGAGTCGACCTAGGAGAAGCCCAGCACCGGTGTAAGATAACCGTCATTGGTGTTGGTGGCCGCGAGCGAGAATCGAACTTGGGTCGCCGTGGTTTCTAGCACAAAGTGCGCTGACCGTTGCGCCACCGCTCCCCACGCGCGCCCACACCTTCTGCAGTCTTTGATGCAAACGTCTCAATGAGCGCTAAATGATTATCCGCATGCAGCTTCTTCTTTTGTTTAATTCGTCCGTAAGTATCGCCGCTGAGCATTATCGCATGCACACGTACTTATTAATGTACGTCTTAATCTTATGTGTACATACTAAGTATATGTATTTTTTCGAATACGCATCAATATAATTCACCGGTAAGTGTATATACATTTTTAAATTGTTTCGATTTGCACAGCGTGTGAACGGTGGAGGAGGCACGTGTATAATAAAAATATATATTTTTAAAATTATATAAAACACATTAGCAGATTATGTGTTCGGGTAAGGTAAGGGTGGGGAGCTGGGAACGGGGTTACCGAGAGAGGATTAGCAGCGCATTTAAAGCGAAACGCCAGCAACGAGGCTTGACGTAATCCTTGCGAAAATTAATTAATTACATTTTTTGATATATAATAATGCATATTTGTTCTATGTATAAAATCAATGTAAAGGAAAGTGGGAGAAAAGGCGAGAGCGCGGAGAGGATGGGCGGGTGATACTTCGTTCAATAAAAGCTACTTTCAAAAAACGGTGTCAACTTTATCAACTCGTCGCTCAATGTGACCGCCGTGAAGGAGCTGTCCATGGTACCTGATCGGATTTACTGAGCTGTAGATACCACCCACCCTCAGTGTGCGTGTATGTGTGCGTGTTACACACGTGTGCGTGTGTGTGTGCTACACGTGTGCGTGTGTGTACGCTACACACGTGGACACACACACACACATATAAATGCTCACATACATACGCACACACGTGCATGCAAACAATAGGCAAAGAGCATGCGTATTGCCTTTAACAGATTGTTGGGGCAAGTGCTGTTAGCGAGCACTTATGAAGGTCGGCACGGACAACGAGGAAGAGGGATAGGGTGGCCAATACACCACGCCCGGCCGCCATTGTCTCCCCAGTGTCGATGTTTTTGAACACCGTATGAGGGAATTGTTTTAAGGCTCAGTCGACCTAGAGGAGATGCAGAACCGGTTCAGATAAACAATCGTACATAAACGCACGCACACCGACTTGCACACAATTACACACCTTATACAGACAGGCACACGTAAATAAAAATGCGCTAACATAATAGTCATATACAAAGATAAAGGTCCCGCGTATAGCCTTAACAGACTGTAGGGGTAAGTGCTGTTAGCGAGCAACTATGAAGGCCAGAATGGCACACGAGGGGTGGATGGGTGGCCAACACCACGCCCGGCCGCCTTTGTCTCCCTAGCGGCGATGTTTACACACCACACCAGATACTCATTTGAGGCTGAGTCAACCTAGGGGAGGCGTAGAACCGGTTCAGATAATCCTCACCGGTGTTGGTCGTGAGCGGGAATTGATCTCGGCTCGCCGGGTTCGTAGCGCAGCGCGTTAACCGCTGCACCACCGCTCCCCATCCGTATATACTCTCACACTCTCATGCAAACGTACAGCTTGACTCACAGTAACATACATACACCCTTCTGACACTCGCATACAGCTTCTTACATACTCACCCGCGAACACGTACTTGTACACACACCTTAAAAAAACATATACATACACACTCACTCTTACACGCATGTATGCATAGGTATACCTTCACATACAACATACGTTAACGTATCGACACTCGCTCTCTCGCCCGCTGCCAACCGTATACGGTACCCGTGAACACACTCTGACACACATATAGAAATGATATAAACCCCGCTCACGTTAATACGCGGACTCCTACACACACACATGCGCACACTGTTCACATGCACGCGCAACCACAACATGTGCGCGCGCGCATATAAATACACTCCGTCATGCACGCGTACACAAATTCCAAAAGTTGAATCGCGACTACCAATTATTGCCGAGCATTGAGTAATGTTCGTGCGCTCTTTTCGATTTGTCACAAGGCGGAGTTGTTTTTGTCCTCGTCTCTATTCGCTCCGTCGCTGTTGCCTTGTTTTTGATGGGGGTTCTTTTTGTGCCTTTTTGTCACTTTCGATGATCCAGGTCACGCGAGTAAATGGGACTCGTATCGGTCCCTTGAGTTCTCACCACCTCGCTAAACAACATCGAGACTTGATACGTCTATGCTTAAGTAGACACACCATTAAACACGCGTGTTTAAACTCTTCACCTTACTGTCACACGCATACCACACACACACGTACATATATACAACCACACACACAGACGAACACTGTCAAACATACACGTACCCTCCATTCCTCTCTCACAAATGCACACGCACAAAGATCCCCCCTATAGCCTTAAACAGTTTGGGGAAAGTGCCGTTAGTGAGCACCTATGAAGGCCGGCACGGCACACGAGGGGGTGGGTGGCCAACACCACGCCCCACCACCTTTGCCTCCCCAGTGGCGATGTTTACACACCCCATCAGATACTAATTTGAGGCTGCGTCGATCTAAGGGAGGCCCAGGACCGGTTCAGATCATTCTCACACCGTGGCCGAAAGCGGGAACCGAACTCGGGTGGCCGCGTTTGTAGCGCCGCGTTCTCACCGCGACAATTCCGCTCATCACACGAGCACACATGATAAAGACAAAGATCCCCCGTGTAGCCTTAGCATACTGTTGGGGCAAGTGCTGTTAGCGAGCGCCTATGAAGGCCGGCACGGCAACACGAGGGGGTGCGTGAGCAAAACCACGCCCGACCGCCTTTGTCTCCCGAGAGGCGATGTTTTACACACCGCACCAGGTACTCATTCGAGACTGATTCGACACACACATTCAGATATACACTCGCACGCGTACACACACGTAACTCGGCAGACGTGCACGCAATTGTATTTTCAAATATCAAACCACTCCGCAGTAATAATCAATCACTTGCATATATACCGCCCCCCCACAAACTTAACAGACGAAAAGGCAAATGTCTCAGCCCCTGCCACTGAACTTAACGCAAAGCACACACCGCATACAGACGCACGTGGTCGTGCGTTTAGAAAGAAAAAAAAAGATTCAGAAATGCTCGCCGCTCGTTTCACTCAAAATAAACGAATCATTTTACGTCGTCGAAATAACGACGACGACAACACCTCTACAGATATTTAAGAGATTACATATTGTGTTTGTGTCGTGAGCGCGGCGCGGTGATGTGAGTTGGCCGCGTAGGCGGCGCGGCCCCCCGGTATCGGACCGCGTGCATCAGAGGCGATGACCGCACGGCGAAGCGGAGCGCAATGGCCCTGGCATCCTTGTTAATTGAAATCCGGGAGAGCCCGATTGACATCGACGATCGCTTAATATCATTGGCGTGGAACATGCGACGCCGTTTATAACTGCGCGTTTGCGACTTAGCGCGTTCGTATGGTGTGTGGGTGTGGGGTTATTCTTTAAATAAATATTTTTTTTTCTCTACTGCTGAAATCAAAATATAACAAATCAGTCGGGGCCGTCGTGACCGACGTCTGGTTGAAATAACCGTCACGATCGCGCACCGGGCTGCACAGGGCCCTCATCCAGCAGTAGATAAACAAGAAGATACCCACGCGACATTTCACCTTACGAGATCATAAACAACGCACACGGCAAAGAGGCAATGGCAGCGCGAGCGGGCAGTCACGACAAGAGCGACACGTGACTCGTCGGAATAACGCGTGACAGGTACCTGGATGGCGATGGAACTTGATGTAATTTCAATCCGGGTGTTCGCCGTCACATCTCCATCGCTGCGTCCTTTAAGAAGTGAGGGGTTGCGAGGGGGGATCTGGGGGTCGTTGTAAGGGGGGGGGGGGGGGGCGATGTGTGCGGGAGATGTTGCGATCTTGGCGGCGGGGTTGGTGGTGGTGGGGGGGATGCTGGGATGAGCAGGAGAAGTATGGGATGTGATCTTGAACCAGGGGCCGGGGGATCACCAACGCTCAAGAGTAATGCGGCGGTGGTGGTGGTGGAGCAAATGTTCAGCAACCCACCGCCCCCTTTCCTTCTCTTCGCCGGCTTCGTACTGCGTGCGCGAGTGTTGCGTTGGGTGTGCGAGTGCGTTAAGCGCGTGTCCGTCCGTCCGTGTGTGTATTGTAGCTATATGCGTGTGTGTGTGTATTGTAGCTATATGCGTGTGTGTGTGTATTCTAGCTATACGCGTGTGTGTGTGTATTGTAGCTATATGTGTGTGTGTGTATTGTAGCTATATGCGTGTGTGTATTGTAGCTATATGCGTGTGGAGCGACCACTGCGCGCCGAACCTCAGGGACGGTATCGCGTCCGCCCGGGCTTTCGTGACAGCTGTTCCCACGGGCGCGGCCGCCCGACGCGGCCCCACGTGAGCGGCGAACAGCGGCGGCTGCGGCGGGGATTACGACGGATCTCACGGGGATGACGAAGAGTCTCACGGGCGATAGACTCGGTGCTCGCGCCTGCTTTGCGTGAAGGAGAGACGACGATTGTGCGGGTGATGGGGGCGCGCCGAGGGGGGGGGGGGGTGTTAGGGGAAGAGCGCGCGGTAGAAGCCCGCGGTCGTGAATCGCACCCCGCGTTCGCTCGCCGCCGCCGAGTTGTGCGGATCGCGCTCACGCCGAGTGAATCTGTTAAACGCCGCTGCCCTCCTCCTCCCACACCCCCTCCCCTCGCCGCGCCCCCCTCCTCCTGCCTCCTGCTGCTGCTGTCTCCCCTCTCCCCACCTCCTCCTAGCCCCCCCCCCCTCCCACACACCGCACTCCTGTTACTCGTCCTCCCTCCCTCCTCCACCGCGCCCTCCACTCTTCTCGTATCTGTCCCTCCCTCTCCTCCTCCTCCTCCCCGTGTAAACGCGTTCACGCACCTCCGTGTAAGTCCGTAGCCTCTCCCCCCCCCCCCCAAGCGCGTACGCTCTCATCACATCACATCCCACTCCCTCCCACTCCCTCCCACTCCCTCCCTCCCTCGCTCCCCTGGCCGCGCTACGCGTCGCGATCAGTCTCGCGACACCTCGGACGTCAATCCGACCGTCTCCTCTCGTCTGTCAGTCCGTCAAAGATCGGAACGCCAAAGGGCCCGTCGTGTGTTCCACGCGTCCTCCTCCTGCACTCTCGATTGTCTCTCGCCGTGTGTCTCTGTCTCGCACGTTTCCTCTCTCTCTCGCTCGCTCGCTCGCCGCGGAGACGAGAGGACGCACAGACGGAAGAAGGCTCCTGCCGCTGATGGTGCTGATGCTGCAACTGGTGTTGATAATGCAGGTAAGTCTGTGCGTAGAGCGCTTGATCCGTACGGCAGCTGTTTTACACACGCACGCGGCTACGCGTGGACACACTCACGTGAACTCTCAGTTGAGCCCCCCCCGCCCATCACGACGTTTGCCGAGTCACAGTTGATGGTGAATTATGATGGTGACGATGATGGTGTGTGATGGGGAAGAGCGTGATTATCGTCGGCAAGCACGCGCATTGTACATACGAAGGTGTGGACATACAAGTCCACACACACACGTGAACACTCAGAGACAAACGTACACGCACCTACACAGACGCACACACAGGCATAATAAACATCCCCCATATAGGCTTTAACAGACTATTTGGGGAAGTGCTGTTAGCGAGCACACACAAGGGGATGGGTGGCTCGCACCACGCCCGGCCGCTTTTGTTTTCCTTATGGCGATGTTCACACACCGTACCAGGGTACTAATTCGAGGCTGACTCGACCTAGGAGAGTCCCAGGACCGGTTAAAATAATCGTCACTGGTGTTGGCCGTGAGCGGGAATCGAACCCGGGTCGCCAGGTTCGTAGCGCAGCGCGCTAACCGTTACACTACCGCTCCCCACACACACACACACACGCGTAAAACACACAGACGCACACACATCGCCGTCAATTACACTTCGCCATCCCGCCCAAGGCAAACATATGCACAATATCGATCTGTCGCTCTGCTCTGGACGTATACGGATCGACATCACGTGGTTCCTCTACGCGGGCCCCTCGCTCTCGAAATATGATCTCATTGCTGCAAAACAGCCTCTGGAGAAACACGCGGGCCACACAGATGGGTCACTTAGCTACATTGAGGAACCCATTCATTGTCTGCCGCCGGTCGCTATATACATGTCATCTACAGTATATATGTATGTTTTTATGATCTTCTCAGGATTAGTGGCAATGTTGTTATTCTTTTTTAAAGCGATTTTACATTTATATGAAAAATGTATCAGCGGCCGTCAAGTCATCGTGATTTATGATGAACAGCTCAGTGTCAATCCACTGCTGGATGAAGGCACCCTCGCTCTGTCTGGTCCGGGGGGGGGGAGGTATTTGACCATACTTCACCACGCTGACCAAGAGGGTTTATAGCCAATAATATTTTTCGACCAAAATATATCTTTATTTGCGTGTGAAAACGTGGCATTGGGTGAAATATGCTTTCTTCAATATTGATAGCTGCCACTGACTTGACAATAATAGCGACGGTGCCCTTTTTTAAGCGAGGAACAGTCCCATTGAGTTTCAAGAATTGTTTTCGGGAGGTTCCTGCTACATTGGGATGCTGAACCAGTGCCATCAATGGTTGGTGTTTGGGTGTTTGGGCGTTTGGGCGTTTGGGTGTTTGGGTGTTTTGATGTTTAGGTGTTTGGGTGTTTGGGCGTTTGGGCGTTTGGGCTACGTGTTGGAGCAAAGCGGAGAACCCAGGAGAAAGGCCACCACGCACACGAGTGGAGATCGACCGAACGCTCCGCGCTGACAGACTCAATGCCCAGACAGATGCAATCAATGAAACGTGTCAAACTGACCGAGCCCATTACTGCATCTCCTTCTGTTGTACTGCAACTTCGCAGCAGCCTCATCACCCCGACACAACGCCTGGCAAGCCCCTTGGTGGAGGTGTCACCCATCCACGCACGAAGCAGGCTGCCCTCCCTGCTTCGTTATCGATATCCGACGAGATCGGACGCTTTCCGTGCGATGCGGACGTTGAACAAATGTTTGAACGGAATCCTCATCTGGCCGAACAACAACAGTAACAACAACAATGAGGGCGACGATAATAACGCAATTCATACTCAGAATATTGATTTAGACTGGACGAATCCGATGAGCTATGAAGCTCTTTTTTTCTTTCTCACAGATATCCAGTGATGGCTGCGGCTCAGCAAGTGACAATTCATTGCACGTGCAAATATTTCGGTGAAGACATCCGGCGAGCGTCACACCCCCGGGGCGAAGAGCCGGGCTCGATGTCACTCAAAAGCCACGCGAGAGAAGTTAAAGAGATGGGGTGGGTAGGTGGGGGGGTCTTTAAGTGTCTCTTAATAGTCGGTGTGGGTTCAACGCTGCCGTTGCTGCTGATAACGTGCAGCAGCAGCAGCAGCTCCTGGTACTTGGTGTAGACAGGATGGCGAGGATGATAATGATGATGATAGTGGTGAGGTTGTGAGTCGCTCTACAGCAGAGAGTCCCGCCGTGGGCGGTAGGTTAGTGCAGGGTGACAGGGGGCTGTCACGGAAGAAACGGGAGTGACCATGGTCTCGGTGTACAGAGGAGGAGGAGGGTGAGGATGGGGGGGGGGGGGGGGTGAAGCTTCTGCGGATTGCTCAGCGGTCACTCCCAATTGTTTCGGACAAAATTGCGACATGGAGCTGTGGTCCAGCGCCCTACCCTATCGACCCGCACACGGCTAACATCAGTGGCGAATGATATCACCAACACCGCACTGACCTGCGCGGTGAAGTATGGAAATAAAACCTCGGAGAGGGGAGGGGGGGGGGGCTTCATCCAGCAGTGGATTGTGCCGAGGGGCTATGAAATTTGTAAAATAAACGACGTGGCGTGATGACTTGCCTGGTGTTATTGACAGGTGCTTTGTCTGCTCTGTTAAAGTTGGCCATCATGAAACCACACGTGGGTGGATATTGTCTCGTCTACGGGTGCGGGTCGCGGGTTAAGTTCTCGTAAACGGAGACGACACGAGCCGCTGTGTTAAAATAAATATGTGTGCGTGCGTGTGTGTATATACGTGTGCGTGTGTACGGGGAGCGGGAGCGTAGCGGTTAGCGCGCTGCGCTATGAACCTGGCGACCCGGGTTCGATTCCCGCTCACGGCCAACACCGGTTACGATTATCTGAACCGGTCCTGGGCCTCCCCTAGGTCGACTAAGCCTCAAGTGAGTACCTGGTCACTAGGGACACAAAGGCGGTCGGTCGTGGTGCTGGCCACCCACCCCCTCTTTTACCGGTCCAGTGTTCATAGGTGCTCGCTAACAGCACTTGCTCCAACAGTCTGTTAGAGGCTACACGGGGGGAATTTGTCTTTTTTATGTGTGTGTGTGTATGTGTGTGGGCACGGTCCCATCGGTGAGCTCCTCCGGCAGGCAAGGCTGCGTTGGCTGGGTCATGTAGCCCGCATGCCCAGCCACCGCATGCCGAAACAGCTTTTGTTCGGCCGGATCGAGGGGGCTAAACGGGCGCGGCACGGGCTAGAGAAGAGATGGAGTGATGTGGTACAGGAGGACGTGGAGCTGAGTGGACTTGCCGATGACTGGTACCAGCGGTGTCAAGATCGGCCTCTGTGGAGGAGGCTCGTGAAGGACGCTACTGGGCAGTTGGAGGCAGTCGCCCTCCAACAACGACGGAGGGCGGAGGAGCGACGCTCACAACAACGAGCGGAGCGCCGGGTGACTAAGGCACAGCAGGTTGGCACAGTAGGGGGCACAGGTGGTGCATCAGCCAGTCATCTCAGTCAGTCGACCCGTGGCACCTGGGTCTGCCCCGTGACCTCCTGCCAGCGGGCGTTCGACACTTCACGTGGCCTCAAGGTGCACATGGCCTGGCACAAGCGTCGTGGTGACGTCACCGCCACTTAGTGGCGAATGGCGGTTGTTGTATGTGTGTGTATGTGTGTATGTATATGTGTGTATGTATATGTGTGTGTATGTGTGTGTACGTGTGTGTAATTTAAACCTTCAGCCATTAACCCTGGACACCAATACCCCCGGGTTGAATATCGCCCAGTGGTGGCGGAGAGGGGAGGGGAAGCTACGGTGTGTGTGTGTCAGTGTGTGTGTGTGTAAGTGTGTGTGTCAATGTGTGTGTGTCAGTGTGTGTCAGTGTGTGTGTCAGTGTCAGTGTGTGTGTGTCAGTGTGTGTGTGTCAGTGTGTGTGTGTGGGAGCGGTAGTGTAGTGGTCAGCGCGCTGCGCTATGAACCTGGCGACCCGGGTTCGATTCCTGCACACGGCCAACACCAGTGACGATTATCTGAACCGGTCCTGGGCCTCCCCTAGGTCGACTCAACCTGAAATGAGTACCTGGTGCGGTGGATAAAAACATTGCCACTGGGGAGACAAAGGCGGTCGGGCGTGGTTGCTGGCCACCCACCCCTTCGTGTACCGTTCTGGCCTTCAAAGGTGCTCGCTAACAGCACTTGCCCCGACAGTCTGTTAAGGCTATACCGGGGATCTTTGTCTTTGTGTGTGTCTGTGTGGGAATTTTTGTGTGTACATGTATTTATGTATATGTAGTTATTAGCGTGTGTGTACGTGTGTACGTGTGTACGTGTGTGTGTACGTGTGTGTGTGGCGGGGGCACGGTAGTGTAGTTGTTAGCGCTACGCAGCGCTGCGAAACCCGCCCGAGTTCCGATTCCCCGCTCACGGCCCAACACCAGCGATGATTATCTGAACCGGTCCTGGGCCTCCCCTTGGTCGACTCAGCCTCAAAATGAGTTCCTGTCGCGTTGTGTAGTAAACATCGCGACCGGGGAGACAAAGGCGGCCGTGGCGTGGTTTTGACACCCGCCCCATCGTGTGCCGTGCCGGCCTTTAGAGGCGTTCGCTAACAGCACTTGCCCCAACAGTCTGTTAGAGGCGACACCACGGGGGGAATCTGTCTCCTTGTGTGCGTGCGCGCAATGCGAATCGCAGCCGGTCACGTCCCAGTCACGCACGAATGTTGATTCTCAGCGAATAACATTAACCCGACCCGCACACACACACACAGCACAATTCCGTGACGAGGGGATTGCCAATTAACATTTAGTTTCTAATCGGCGGCCACGGCAGGACTCGCCGCAGGAACGGCACTGATCCCTCCTTTACCATTCGCGTTAAAACGCGCGTGGAGTTTCCCCCCTCCGGCTCCCCCTTTTTGTTTAGGTTTTGTTCCCCAACACACACGGCGGTAATTGCGCTGACATTTCGGTCTGAGTGGTGATGATGACACTTTCCGCCGGTCTATCAACTCTACTGCAGCTACGGCGACCGCTAACCTCATCATCATCATCGTCATCATCACAGCCGTGCTCGCTCTCGTTGTCTCTCCGTTAGATCGGCCACCGACGTCATTTTTGTTTCATTCTCTTGTCTGAGAAACGTTCATCTGCCGGTCCGATACCTTTTTGGGGCGAGAACGTGCCGATGTATAAGTGCATGTAATCTAAGACGATCTATATATGTGTGTATTAAACGCGTTTCGGAAAGAGAAACAACTAACCCGCAGAATGGTGAAGTATGGTCAAGTATTCCCCCCCCCACCCCCCACGAGTGGAGGCTTATTGTTATTTTACGTAGATATATATAGTTTTTCACCGTAATCTCCGTATTATTGGACGCTCTGGAAAGTAAGACGCACCGCAAACTCCTTGTACCCGGTGTCAATAAAGTTACGATAAATCGCCTACGAAGACAAATATTCTCTCTATAGTCTCGACAGACTTTTGGGGCAAGTGCTGTTAGTGAGTAGCACCTTTGAAGGCCGGCATGCCCGACCGCCTTTGTCTCCCCAGTGACGATGTTTAGACACACCGCACCACCGGGAACTCATTTGAGGCTGAGTCGACCTCGGGGAGGTCCAGAACCGGTTTAGATATTCATCACAGATCTTTGACATGAGTGGGAAATCGAACTCGGCTCGTGGAGTTCGAAGCTCAGTCCGCTAACCGCTACCCCCCCACCCCCACACACAAAGACAAAGATCCCCTGCATAGCCTGAACACACTGTTGGGGCAAGTGCTGCTTTGCGAGCACCCGTGAAGGCCGGCACGGCGCAAGAGGGTGTGGGTGGCCAGCAACCACGCCCCACCGCCTTTGTCTCCCCAGTGGCGATGCTTACACACCACATAGGATACTCATTTGAGGCCGAGTCGACCCAGGCGAGCCCCATGACCGGTTCAGATAGTCATCAGCGTTGTTGGTGGCCGTGAGCGGCAATAGAACTCGGGTCGCCGGGTTCGTAGCGTAGTGCTCCCCCAGCAGTCCCCCCCCCAACAAAGATCCCCCGTATAGCCTTAACTGAGTGTTGGGGCAAGTGCACGCATACACACATCTGCAGGATTACAGGACGCATCCCCAACTTTTGCTTTCAAATACAAGGCACGCAAGCGCGTCTTGTAATCCGGTCGGTGTAAATCTGATCCCCCTATCATCCCCGACGGGGGGGGGGGGGGGGGGGGGGGGGAGGGCTGCTCGTTTCAAAATGCGGAGAGAATCTGTTCCCTGTCACACGATGCTATTCGCTCTGCGGCGGTGGTGTAGCAGATATCGGGTGAGCAGGCGGTGCAACTGCGCCTACTTCGGAGGGGCCCCGTGGCGTCGGGCAACGAAGGTTAGGGGGGGGGGGGGTGGGCTGGTTAAGGTGGCGGATCCATTTCAGTCTCAGTGCCAAGGACCCATTCAAACCACACCCGCGAGCTGACGTATGTTGAACTTCTTTCGCACCGTACGTAGCAATACCGTGCTGTTGTGCACCACGGACGAGGTTCAATTGCGAGCCAGCATATTGTTCTCGTCGGTTTTTTTTTGCTCATTTAAACAACGTGGCAGGGATATTTTATATTTCGCATTGGTTTCAATAACTCTCGCGTTGTTAACTTTTAGGGCCAGCGTGTTGCAACCCCCCCCCCCCCCCCCCCCCCGCCGCTAGCCACTGTCAATAAAGCATACAGATATTATACCCGAGTCATGGACACTGATACACACGTATTCAGCACACACACAAACACAAAGATTCCCCCTTATAGACTTCAACGGACTGTTGGGGCAAGTGCAGTGAGCGAGCACCTATGAAGGCCGGCATGGCACGCGAGGGGGTGGGTGGTCAGCACCACGCCCGGCCGCCTTTGTCTCCACAGTGGCGATGTTTACTACACACCGAACCAGGTACTCATTTGAGGTTGAGTCGACCTAGGGGAGGCCCAGGGCCGGTTCAGATAATCGTCAGTGTTGTTGGCGGCCGGAATTGAACTCGGCTCGCCGGGTTCGTTGCGCAGTGCACTGACCGCTACATTACCGCACACAAACACACACACACACAAACACACACACACACACACAAACACACACACACACAAACACACACACACAAACACACAAACACACACACACAAACACACACACACAAACACACACACACACAAACACACAAACACACACACACACAAACACACACACACACAAACACACACACACACAAACACACACACACAAACACACAAACACACACACACAAACACACACACACAAACACACACACACACAAACACACAAACACACACACACACAAACACACACACACACAAACACACAAACACACACACAAACACACACACACACAAACACAAACACACACACACACAAACACACACACACACAAACACACACACACAAACACACACACACAAACACACACACACACAAACACACACACACACAAACACACACACACAAACACACACACACAAACACACACAAACACACACACACACAAACACACACACAAATACACACACACACAAACACACACACACAAACACACACAAACACACAAACACACACACACACAAACACACACACACACACAAACACACCCACACACAAACACACACACACACAAACACACACACACACAAACACACACACACACAAACACACACGTGCGCGCGCACACACTCTCACCTGTCGAGCGAGCAACGTCACGAGCACACCTGTGTATGGATTCCCATCTAAGACGACGTAGCCAGGTGAAGCAATTGGCGGGACCCCGGGGTCCCATCACTGCCCCGGGGTGGGAAAAACCGCGTAACGACACGAGTCTTGCTGCCTTACCGACAACAAAACTAGTGGTCAATCGATTGGCCTCGTCGAGAGCTACTCGGGGCACTAAGTTTCGTAAAAAGTTGAAAAATTACATAAACACGTTAAATTCACTGCCTGGGGGTGGCAGTGGGGCTCGCCTTGGCAAAGAAGCTGAGGGTCTGACCGGAGGGCGTCGTCACCGCACGCGACTGCGGTGGACGCCCCCCGGGGCTTGCGTTTGCCCGGTGGGGTGGCGTCCATCGTGTCGATCGCCGCCTGCTGCTGGCGATTGTTGGCGCGAGTCTGGGCGGGCGGCGCGTTGCTGTCGGGGTAACGAGTGGGCGGACTGAAAAATAATAATTATTGACCTGATTTTTGCGGGATCCCGGGGTCCCGCCAAATGGTTCAGGTGTCCGATCGGACCATTCCCAGGGCCCAACACGAGAGCCGTGGGCTCTGTCTGGTGACACATCGTCGTTCATTGGGCGAACGCGGGGTGCGCGAGGTGGAACATCCATCGTTCGTTGCAACTGTCGGGAAAATTGTCGTGAACAGAACTGGTTTCGCGCGGCCGCTGTCGTCTGTCACTCGCCACCGACGCTAAACCGTGGCTGGGAATCGAACTCAGGTGACCGGGTGGGATTATAGCGCAGTGCCTTAACCCCTCCCCCCACCCCACGGCACTGCCCCTCCCCCATCCCCCCCGGTATCCCTCAGCGCTGAGCACATTTCAAGTGAGATTGCAATAATGTCTAGGAAATTAATTGTGTCTGATCACATTTACAGCGATCAGCGCCTGGCTTCGTGTGGGAGCCAACTCACTCAACGCTGCCCTCTCCTGGCCACGCCCCGCAGCCACGCGCCTACATCACCTGGCAAGATCTGCAGGTAGTCACATCACCTGGCAAGATCTGCAGGTAGTCACATCACCTGGCAAGATCTGCAGGTAGTCACATCACCTGGAAAGGTCTGCAGGTAGTCACATCACCTGGCAAGATCTGCAGGTAGTCACATCACCTGGAAAGGTCTGCAGGTAGTCACATCACCTGGCAAGATCTGCAGGAAGTCACATCACCTGGCGAGATCAGCAGGTAATCACATCACATAGCAAGATCAGCAGGTAGTCACATCACCTGGCGAGCTCAGCAGGTAGTCACATCACCTGGCAAGATCAGCAGGTAATCACATCACCTGGCAAGGTCTGCAAGGTAGTCACATCACCTGGCAAGATCTGCAGGTAGTCACATCACCTGGCAAGATCTGCAGGTAGTCACATCACCTGGCGAGCTCAGCAGGTAGTCACATCACCTGGCGAGCTCAGCAGGTAGTCACATCACCTGGCAAGGTCTGCAGGTAATCACATCACCTGGTAAGATCTGCAGGTAGTCACATCACCTGGCGAGCTAAGCAGGTAGTCACATCACCTGGCAAGGTCTGCAGGTAATCACATCACCTGGTAAGATCTGCAGGTAGTCACATCACCTGGCAAGGTCTGCAGGTAGTCACATCACCTGGCAAGGTCTGCAGGTAATCACATCACCTGGTAAGATCTGCAGGTAGTCACATCACCTGGCAAGATCAGCAGGTAGTCACATCACCTGGCGAGCTCAGCAGGCAGTCACATCACCTGGCAAGATCAGCAGGTATTCACATCACCTGGCAAGGTCTGCAGGTAGTCATACCACCTGGCAAGTTCTGTAGGTAATCACATCACCTGGTAAGATCAGCAGGTAGTCACAACACCTGGCAAGGTCTGCAGGTAGTCACATCACCTGGCAAGATCTGCAGGTAGTCACATCACCTGGCGAGCTCAGCAAGTAGTCACAACACCTGGCAAGATCTGCAGGTAGTCACATCACCTGGCAAGATCAGCAGGTAGTCACAACACCTGGCAAGATCTGCAGGTAGTCACATCACCTGGCGGGCTCGGCAGGTAGTCACATCACCTGGCAAGATCAGCAGGTATTCACATCACCTGGCAAGGTCTGCAGGTAGTCACATCACCTGGCGAGCTCGGCAGGTAGTCACATCACCTGGCAAGATCAGCAGGTAGTCACATCACCTGGCAAGATCAGCAGGTATTCACATCACCTGGCAAGGTCTGCAGGTAGTCACATCACCTGGCGAGCTCGGCAGGTAGTCACATCACCTGGCAAGATCAGCAGGTAGTCACATCACCTGGCAAGGTCTGCAGGTAGTCACATCACCTGGCAAGCTCAGCAGGTAGTCACATCACCTGGCAAAGTCTGCAGGTAGTCACATCACCTGGCAATCTCAGCAGGTATTCACAACATGTTAGCGCTTAGCAGGTTGACGGCTGCTTAGTTTCACGAGATCGGGCAAGACTGCGCTCATTCATTATTATCCTGCCGTGGGGAGTGTGACGGTGCGATCCACCATACAGCACGGGTGTAGGGTACAGGTGCGTGTGTGTGTGGAGTATGTTTAGGTTGTGTTGATTGTTGTGTGGAGCAATGTCTGGATCTCGATGTGTAGGGTATGCGCATAGGGTGTCTGTGTATGGTATGTGAGTAGGGTATGTGTATGTAGACTACGTGTGTGTGGTACATGTTGAGGACGTGTGTCGGGTGCATGTTGAGGGTACGCGTTGAGTGTACGCGTGTAGGGTACGTGTGTATTGTATGTGAGTAGGGTATGTGTGTGTAGACTACGTGTGTGTGGTACATGTTGAGGCTACGTGTGTCGGGTGCATGTTGAGGGTACGCGTTGAGTGTACGCGTGTAGGGTACGTGTGTATTGTATGTGAGTAGGGTATGTGTATGTAGACTACGTGTGTGTGGTACATGTTGAGGCTACGTGTGTCGTAAGCATGTTGAGGGTACGCGTTGAGGGTACGCGTGGAGGGTACGTGTGTATTGTATGTGAGTAGGGTATGGGTGTAGGGTATGTGTGTAGACTACGTGTGTGTGGTACGTGTTGAGGCTACGTGTGTCGAGTACGTGTTGAGGGTACGTGTTGAGTGTATGTGTGTGTCGGGTACATGTGTAGGGTGCATTTTGAGGGTACGCGTTGAGGGTACGCGTGGAGGGTACGCGTGGAGGGTACGTGTTGAGGGTACGTGTTGAGTGCATGTGTGTGTGGGGTACGTGTTGAGGGTACGCGTTGAGGGTACGCGTGGAGGGTACGTGTTGAGTGCATGTGTGTGTGGGGTACGTGTTGAGGGTACGCGTTGAGGGTACGCGTGGAGGGTACGCGTGGAGGGTACGTGTTGAGTGCATGTGTACGTGGGGTACGTGTGGATGGTGCATGCTGAGAGTACGTGTTGAGGGTACGTGTTGAGTGCATGTGTACGTGGGGTACGTGTGGAGGGTGTATGCTGAGGGTACGTGTGGAGGGTACGTGTTGTTGCGCGGGGTGATCTCTGGGTCTGGCTGTGCGGGGTTGTAATTAGCAGGTAGGCGCGCGCCGTGTTCCTACAACGCGCCAGGCAGGAGGTCGCGTTTGGGTTCTTCCTGCGTAAATTAAACTGTAATTACTCATTTTAATCAAACGCGGGCAATTTGGATTAATCAAAGCGGGGAGATAGCGGGGGGGGGGGGGGGCGAGGAGGAGGGGGAGGGGGAGGATTGAGTGGAGAGATGGGAAAGGGGCGGGGGACCCCCATCGGCGCACACGCAGACGCACGCGCACGCAGGCGCAGGCGCAAGCGCTCGCAGGCGCACGCGTGTTACACAGCTGGGCAACACACGCAGACACTTCCAGTCAGATAAAGACACAAAAGACGAAGGTCCCGCCGATAGGCTTTAACAGACTGTTGGGGCAAGTGGTGTTAGCGAGCACCTGTGAAGGCCGGCACGGCACACGAGGGAGGGCGGGGGTGGGGGGGTCGGCATCACGCCCGGCCGCCTTTGTCTCCCTCGTGGCGACATTTACGCACCGCAGCAGGCACTCGTTTGAGGCTGAGCCGACTTAAGGGGAGGTCCAGCGCCAGTTCAGATAATGGTCACAGATGTTGGCCGTGAGCGGGAATGGAACTCGGGTCGCCGGGTTCGTAGCGCAGCGCGCTAACCACTGCGCCACCGCTCCCCACACACGTCCACAGACACACACACGGACACACACGCACACACAGGCACACACACGGGCACAGACACACACGGGCACACACACACAACCGCATGCCCCGAGGCTGTGTTTGAGGGAGGGCTGATCGCTTGGCCGATAGCGGAGCGCTGCTTAAATTAATTGTCTTTTTGCAGACCCGTCCTGTCGCAGTAGCAGCATGATGATGTTGTATGTGTTTTTTTTTACCGTGATGGCGATGATGGTGATGAATACGATGATGCGTTGGCCTATGTGTGTGTTTTATCTTTATTTATTTTGTACCGTGATGGCGATGGTGGTAATGAATACGATGATGCGTGAGCCAGCCATGTTAATGTCCCTGTATCCACAACTTAAACCTATCAGCAATTATGAAGTGGTGATGATGATGGTAATGATGGTAATCATGGTAATGATGATGATGATGATGATAGTAATACTGATGATGATTGAAGTGATGGTTGTGATGGTTATGGTAGTGATTATGATGGTGATAGTAGTGATGATGACTATGATGATGATGATGGTTGATGGTGGTGGCGATGTTGATGGTGGTGGTGATGATGATGATGCTGGTAGTAATGGTGGTGTCAATGATCATGGTGCATCCACATACAATCGTCCTAGAATCACACGCGCATTCACGTGCTATTTAAATGATCGAGCGCCTATTAAAGGCTGCGTCACGGCCCCCGAAGAGGTGATGGAGCCAGCACTCCCCCCAGCCGTCGTTGTCTCTCCAGTGCCGATGATTAGACACCCCACAAGCCACTCATTCACTCTCCTCTGACGTTCGCCGTGGCCGGGAATTGAACTCATGCGGCCGAATTACTTAGTGCCGGTTGAAGGCACTAAATCGCTGCGCCCACTGCTTCGCCGTTACACTCATGGCCTAGAACGGGCATAACACCGTGAACGAAGATGATGTTAATTCGAATAGTATACACGTTCACGTTATACCTAATTCTAATTACAATACATTATAGGGGTATAGCCAACGCTAAGCGGGCTTCAACAGCTTTCGATCGGCTTTCGCGTCGCACTCCACGGGAGGCGAATTACTCGGTTCACAATATGATTGAGGGTGGTATATTATTTGAGGCCGAGTCTGCTGCTGCTGCCCCCACGAGTCGAACCAAATCGACAAAGGGATCCCGGTTAGGTGTGAATTGTCTACGGCACTTTGTAAACGCGGCCTCGGCTTTCGTTGCGTAACATTTCAGGGTTCTAGCCCTTCGGGAGACAACGTGACAAGTCACACCAAGTCGCTAACTCACTCGCGATAGTCACCCGCCACGCGTAGTAAATTATTAAGCTCGGTGCAATGGTTTGCGCTCTGCGCGGTTCGGAACCCCGACGACCTGAGTTTGATTCCAGGACACGGCTAACTCCATCAGCGGCGAGTGCTTCATATATCTGAACCGGTCCGACCAACTAGGATTTACCAACACGGTGGAGTATAGTCAAAACAATTCCCTTGATCCACGTGACGTGGGTAGGGAAGTCCTTCATTCAGCAGTGGGTTGTACATGATACATGCCGAGACAATTCTTACATTCATTTTGCTTGCCATGAGCCAAGTGGCATGGTGAGATGTGCACACAGTAGGCACGTGGGTTGAATCGTGTTGACAGGTGTTGACACGTGTACATTATCTGTCTAAACGTGTGTTCTATCGGCAGATGCGTCTAACATTGGTATCAACTAAAACACAACTTTAATGTCACCAGGTAAAACCCGCTCAGCTATCGGCTCGGTATCAGAGGCGACCCGGCCCCACACGTGATGATAGCTCATCGCAGTGGCTTATATCGTCATCATCA